AGTGATGAAGCTGGTATGTGTGCAGTACACAAGCCACGGTTAAGACAGCTGACTCCACTGTGATCTCTCTAGCTCTCTCTCTCACACACACACACATGCGCGCGCACATGCACGCACGCACGCGCACACGATGCGCAAAACTCTGCATTTGAACAGTCAATAGCAAATACTTAAACTAATAACAAAACAGTACTGACATGGCTGCTTCAACACTAACTGCGGTTACTGAATCCACGCCTTCTTTCTTTGCGAGCACATTTGGGCGGCATTATGCAAATATTTCCACATAGTGAGGTAGATATGTGGGGGCGTGTTAGAACGGGCCATTTTAGGGGGGCGTGGCAAAGTCTTAACTTTGATAAAGAATATCTCTTTGGTTTTGAGACTTTAGTCTTTGCAACTTCAGGGATTTTATCTATGCACAATCAGCTTGTAACACTCCAAAGAGAAAGGAAAACTTGAAATCGCATCATATGACCCCTTTAACATTTGAAAGGATACTATGGCAGTTATCGTTTTCCTTATTCAAACTGATTTTTTTTTCATGAATATATGATTGACCTGAAGAGTGAAAGCTAGATCATAAACTTGGAAAATTATGAGCTTTATCATGCTCATAGACTCTAGGGGTGTGACAATACACTTAGCTCATACACTTAGGTGAGACAAAATGCAGATACTTGGTTCACTAGAACGAGACAATGTTTTAATACTTCCAAGAAATTTTCAAATGACAAAATATTTGTCTTTTAATTACAAAAAGTAAAACAATGCAGTTGTATTTTGAAATGTTTTAACTAATCTAGTGCTTAACTAATGATTATTTTAATAATAATCAAGTAATCTACTGACTATTTTGACAATTGAGTAATCTGATATTTTTTAGTAATACAAATAGAACTAAGTGGAAAATCAGGCTTTAATATGACTATATTTATATATAAAGTAACGATGAGGCAATAATAATTGGCCTCAAATAAAGTATCAAAACCAAGTACATGGTTTTATTGAACAATCCTTTTAAATACAAAATTTAATATGCCTATATTATAACAAATACCTGCAGAGGGCGCCAACAGCCTGGTGACGTTTCATGTGATTCATTGACATTTAAATCCATTTAATTTTAATATTTGGCCACATGCAAAGTCAGAAACTTTTATTTTGAAATCGTGATGTACAATAAATCACATATTTAGAAATATGCTGTATTCTCCTGTGTTGGCATAGGTTTAAATGATTTACGTTACAAATCAAGTGAGTTTTCCCAGATGAACGTTAAGCAACACTCGGTAAATTCGTTCTGGCAATCATATCGTTCTTATGGAGATGGCTTGATTACTCTGAGCTGTTTACAAAACTCCGCTGCTTTTTTTAATAGCTTTTCTATGTAAATAAGACGCTAGATGGAAATCTTTGAACATTGCGCCTCGCAGCTTTTTCAATGTGTCGCGCTCGAGACCCAGGCTTCTTTTCCATTCATCAGCTGCGACTCTGCAATTGGATACTATTATGCGTGTCTCGTGTTTATAAGAGCAAAAACTTTTGATTGGCTAGTAATGTTAGTTTGGTTGAAAGCTGTGTTCCGAACTCATGAACTCGAACGTGATATCAACAAGTGTTTTTAAATGTAGAACAACTTTTTTTTTTTCCCCGCAGCCAAACGCCGCACGCCAGAGATCTGGCACGGTGCCGGAGAACTTTAAGCCTGATATATATTTAGAAAGTATCAGAAAGTATCTTATTTAAATAAATGCTTATTATATTATGATGCGTGCAGGTACTGAATGAGCCACAGCCATATCACCCTGCAGCCCAAGACTGGTTGCCCACTGAAGCTAAGTAGGGTTGAGCCTGGTCAGTACCTGGATGGGAGACCTCCTGGGAAAACTAGGATGTTGTTGGAAGAGGTTAGGGCTGTGCGATAATGAAGAAAAATGCAATATGCGATACCTTGTTAAAAAATGCGATATTCGATATGCGATACGATATTGCTTAAAGTGTGTAAAATCAATTTCAATTATATTTTAAAATATTTAAAAATGAAAATTTTATAACCAATTTGTTTTACATTCTTTCTTGGAAAACTTCTGAAAGTGACCAGCAGTGTTTTAGCATTACATAAAAAGTAATGTCACAAATCAGAAAATGTCATTTTAACATCAGTGTGAACATACAAACCAAAAAAATTAATGACACTAATGTTATATCATTGTAACTTTGCTTTCCATACACTTTAAGTACTTCTTCATATACCACAGCAAAAACTATAGTCTGAGAAAGTTCAAACATGATTAAAGGCAAGTGAACAGTCAGTAAAAAAAAAAGAAAAAGAAAAAAAAAAAAGAAATACACAATTTACAAGCATAGATCAAATAAACAGTAGTATTCAGATACAGAAATGTAATAATTAAGTGTAAAATAACACTGCATAGTGTTCACTGTATGAATTAAATTTACATTAATCTTTGTTATAGCTGTTTTGCTGTTTGATTAACATTAGTGACATATTAAGCAGCATGTATTTATAGGCTGCTGTCCCTTTAAATCCAACTGCACGGATCCAGTATAATGATACACATCCGATTTCTTTCTCAGCCGTTTACATTCATTTAAAACATAACCGACTGCGTTTACGAGAATGATCGTCGAGACGGGTACTATTGACATAATTCTGTGTGTATGTGT